AAAAAAAAAAAAAAAAAAAAAAAAAAAAAAATGGTGGTGGAATTATATTTTTTTATTTTAAATTTTCTAAAATAAAATGTATTACTCTTGTAGCCAGAGTTTTTTTTTTTCATTTAAAAGAATCCAAAGGCAATAAATATGCACTGAAACTTGACAAAATATTTCAAATGTTGAGGAGGAATACCAAAAAAAATTCTGAAACAGAAGAACAATAAGTGAGACCTAGCTCTACCAACTATTAAAACCTACTATGATAGTTCACATTGTCATTAAAGGGAGACTTATTGAAATATAATGGATAATTTAAGTATAAGTGATTTTAATATGTGATGTGGAAGACATCATACCTTGACAGTGGAAAGGAATTCAGTAAGTGTATTGGGATAACTCGTTAGCAATTTGAAAATAGGCAATTTAGTTATCTCCCTTCATACTCTCTCAAATTAAAGGCAGAGTGGATTACAGAGTTAAATATAAAACCAAGTAATAACTAGAGTGGAAGAAAATGATAGAGAATCTAACATCTGAAAAGAGTATATAAGCTTAGAAGCAATAAAAATCATAAAAAGTCAAGATATAGCTATATAAAAATTTTACGTTTGTAAGCCAATTTTTTTTAATGGAAAAGTTTTTAAAATATGGCAAATGGTTATATTTAAAATATAAATAACTGATAAACCAAAAAAACCTCCCCCCCTCAGTAATAAATGGGCAAAGGAACTGAGTAACAAATGAGGAAATATATCTAGAAAATGAACATGAAATAAAATGCTTAAGCTCACTATTAATGGGGGAAAAGGCTAATTAAAATTAAAGTATTAACTTAAAGTGTTAGTTTTACCTTATCAAATATCAATTTTTAAAATATTATCATACCCAAAGCTAGCAAGGGTAGCGTGAAAATAGTCCTCTCCTACCTTGCTGGTGAGATTATAATTTAGAACAACCAACCCTTTTGGAAAGCAATTTGGCAATATAACAAGACCTTTACAGCTTCCAGTGCAGGGGGCATGGGTTCAACCCCTGGTCAGGGAAGATCCCACATGCCGCAATGGCCTGGCCAAAAACAACAAAACAAAACAAACAGAAAAAAAAAACCCAAGACCTTTACAAAGAATTCCTAGATTCCCAGTAATCTGACTCCTAGGAATCCATCCCTAAAGAAATAACCCTGGGGACTTCCCTGGCGGTCCAGCGGTTAAGCCTTCACCTTCCAGCGCAGAGGGTACAGGTTTGATCCCTGGTCCAGGAGCTAAGATCCCACATGCCTCGCGCCAAAAAAACAAAACATAAAACAGAAGCAATATTGTAACAAATTCAATAAAAACTTTAAAAATGGTCCACATCAAAAAATCTTAAAAACAAAACAAAACAAAATATAGTGGCCGGAGGAGGCAGGTGAGATTGAGGGAACTACGTAATTTACAATAGTTTTTGACACAGATAGCTCCAAAGAGGGATTAATTAATTACCCAAATTCTGGAAAATAATAGAACTATTAAGGTAGTCAATCTTAAAAACAATGACATGAAGACTAGTGATATATTGATAGGAAGTAGTTATATAACATCAATTGCAAAAGGATTATCAAATTTTACGTGTTGGTATAAAATTGCAATGACCATGTACAGAAATTGCATATTCCAAGATCGGGCCACTCCCCCACCTCCATGGCCTTGCAGGTCCTCTTCTCTTGCTGGAAAGTCCCTTTCCACCTGTCTACCTGAATTTCTTTCCGTCTCCCCTGCCACTGCTATAGACTAAATCACTCTAGGCTCTCACCCCCACCACTGCAGCAGTCTCCTAGTTGGGCTCATTGCCTTCAGTTTCTCTGTAGTCAAGTGATCTTTGAAATATACAAATCAGATCTTATTACTCTCCCGGGGATCACTTGCTTCCAAGGTATTAAGGATAAAGTCCCAAAATACTTAACATGCTGAAGATGCCATGCCCAACCTCCCACCATTCTCTAAGCTCCAGCCACCATAGCCTTTTCCTTCCAGGAGCCCATCCCCACCACCACCCCCGAGACACCAAGCCTAGTTGTTGCTCAGGGGCTCCCCCATTGACACGCTGTGCCACCTCGTTTAGAATGGTGGCCTGCCCACATGAGCTTGCCATACCCTTTGGCCACAGTGCTTTGGGCAACAGGATGCCCTCACTGGGTGCCTCTCCCCATGTCAGTGTCCCCAGTCCGCCTCCTGTTTAACCCCTCCCCTGGCCACCACATGGTTGAGGTCCCAGCATGCTCAACAGTGAGCCAGCCCCATTCAGACACAGGACACTAGCGAGGCGGCTTCTATAGTAGCCGAGGTAAGAGAACAAGTATGTGAACTAAGAAAAGGGCAACAAGAACAGAAGAGACCCGAGGGCAGTCCAGTGACCTGTGACTTCAGGTGGCCTAAATGAAGTGTTAACCCCAAGCCTCACAGCCATAATTGTTGAGCCCAGGCTCAAATATGCAGGAA